AAAAATTAGGACTGATTTCTGCAGTGATAGGAGAACTGAAAAAAAATTTTCTGCCGCAACAGGCCAAAGCATTCGACGTCTCTTAGCCGAATAAAACTGATAAACAATAGGCTTTTTAACATAATCTTCTTTTCAATAAACTCAGAGAACCGCAGCAATAAATGCGATCCAATGTTAAATGAAATAAAATCCCTTTTTAACTCGTAAAAACAAGAATAGGCAGATGCCCAAAGCAAACAGACATTTCTTTTTCAACAGCCGTTATTAGCGTACATGAGAGCAGCACACTCCAGAAAAATGAGATAGCAAAAGAAATTTCGCGTCGACTGTGAAAAATGCAAATGTCTGTTACTGTAGGCATTATGCGCATCATAAAAAATCAAAATTATTACAGAATTTAAGCCAGGATGAATGCAAAAAAAAAAAAAAAATTCCACTCTAAATCTACAGAGGAAAAAAGTGGGGTCGGAAATGTTCCTAGACATAAAAGTTGAAGATAAGCCTGTGCGCTTGAAGGCAAATATGCCTACTTAGGAGAAACAAAACAATATCAATTTAGACATGGAGCAAAACAAGAAGAAATGACTTATGATGACGGGAGAAGGACCTTGTGAAATAAAAGAGAATGAAAGGAGTGGGAGGAAAGTTCGCGGAACGAAGCAATGTATCCATACAGAAGCGAGGAGAGGCAGAAAAGTGAAAAAGATGCATGTTTGCACTGAGTCCTTGGTGTGCAGCATTAATCAAAATCTTCGACATACCCTTCAGCTGAAAGTATAAATCAGTTCCTCACCTGTTTCGATGCGCATCTGATCCCTTTTAAGCAACTCCGTGAAAATCTGCAAAACAAATACTACCATTTTATGCTGGCGGTTTCCAAATCCACCTCCCTGACACACCTACACCTACACAAAACCATATTAATCTCCACAAAAATAACTCTGCTCAAACCTAAATCAGTGGCTACAGGCAGCACAGTAAAGTCACAATGCAAATGTTGTATTTATGCATATGTAAGCAAATATGATGACTCGCTCCTTCATTCGAGTGTTAAGCAGATCTAACTTCGCAGCCAGAAACGCAAGAATAATGGCAATATAAGAATTCGGTTCTTCGCTCTGTCGTATCTTAAGTTGAGGTACAAATTCCTTAACTGGATTTCAAGCTACTACCTCGAGTGAATTAGGAGTAAACTGTAAAAGAAAGCAGCTTCGTGCTGCACCATTGCCTACTCTCCAAAAAAAAAAAAGAGCTGCATAGTGATACCATAAACACTGCAAAAAGTATTACCTCAATCCTCTGCATGAAAGGAATGACGAAGGGAATACTGCGAACAATGGAAAGGTCACGTAGTTCGCTTGCAGTTGGTGGATCTTCGGTATCCGAACCTTCACCAGGAAGCAAAAACCGAACAAATTCAAACGGACGCCTCATTCGAAATCGACGGCCTCGTCCACCTTGCCATAAGGACTGCAGAGGAAATCATATTTTTAGGTGCTCAAACAAGCACTTTATTCCTTGCGCCTGGTCTCAACTGCTTCGAGTTATTTCGGCATGCATAAGAACTTTGAAGAGTGTGCCCGATGACATCACTCCATGGCTTTTGGGATGAAAGTGAAATCAAAAATCTCTGTGAAGAAGAATTTAAAACGCCAGTGTCTCAAAAAAAAAGAAATTTCAAAACGCCCAAGTTAAGTTGGGGTACTCCATCTTAGTGATGTTACTGAAATGTTCCCACACGCCGAGCGAAGCCATATCGAATCTCACTTTAAGCTGTATGAGCACTGGTTATTCGATGCATGTACACCACCTCTTCGAGACTGTCCGAACAGCCGTTTTCTTTTTCTCATATTCCATTTATCAATGAGCTATATGCACTGACCGTCGGTGATGCCAGCATCGCGTGTTCACGACGACATCCGACACGCTATTCATTTTGAGGAAGACTCTAACTGTTTGTATGGTAGCGAAGAGAAACGCTAACAATTCTTCGCTCCATCGCTTTCTCTGCCACACCTAGCGCCTGCTTTTCAGCTCTCATCAGTGACCACGTATGTCACTGACTTTAACACGGTAGAATTGTAGAGGTGGGCACAGCCTTTCCGATTCGACAGTTCAGCGACATCGACGATGTTATGAAATCCGCGCTAGTACCTCCCTTCCCCGTGCAGTTGCTGGTTGAAAATGTGTAGCAAATTTACTCAAAGCTTCATCCAAGCTCACACCGACTATCTGCAATCTTGTCGTAGATATACCAGCACTTTGCACCACCTCTGTCTTAAAATGCGTTAATTTTTAAGCCTATTTCTTGTGAGCTGAGCTCCTACAGCATCTGATTTATTTCACGACAGTTGCTTGCAGTAAGAACGATGTTATCCGTGCAATGTAGATTATTTATTTGGATGCCACTGATCTCCAGATTGCCTTTCTAATACAACTTCCGAAACATTATTTCGAAGTAGGCCGCAAAAACAGGGCCGCTTTGCCTCATGCTGATTTCGATTGATAAATGGACTGGATCGGAGAAAAATGTTTCTTTAAGGATTTTTACATAGTTGTGACCAATCTCTCCATCCGGAAGAGTTCTTGGCAGAATGCTACTAATTTTTCGCATTGACAGGAAGGAGAGAGAGGAGAAATTGATGCCTCCCTGCAAATTCCAAAATCCGTGCATACCGGAGAATCACAAATTAGGCAACGCTGAGAACGGAAAGCCATCAACAGCCCTAACAACATATGATTACTGTTGACGCATATGTCTCTAAGGCCATTTTTAAGTACGCTCTTACTTTAAGCAAAGCGAAGGACGTTTTATTTCTTTTAATTTTAATTGAGAAAATACTTACAGAATTTAAAACAACGCGCCTGTTATGATTTGACCAAAAATTATGAGGCATAAAGTGAAGTCGGCTGTCGCGCTCATGCAAAGCCTTCGTCAACATCGCCACATTCTGGAAACCTCAACCTTACAGCTTCCATCAAGAGGCAATCAATTCGCATGAAAAATCATAAAAACAGTTGACTGATATAATGGCATTTCTCTTAATCAGGCAATCAACAACAGTTGCTACGTCTGTGGACAAAATTATAGGAAAGCTTTTGGAGAATCTCAGAAAAACAAGGCAACAGGAACACTAAGACCGGTCGGACAATGGGTACGAGGGTTGCATGTCAGGGATGTCATTGCGATGCCGCCACATTCTGGCAGCAGCTATGCCTTGTCCCTTCATTTTGAACTACACACCTCCTGTTGGTACCCCTTGCTTATTTGACGTATGCGAACTATTTCAGAGGCCATCCAAGTGGTAAAGAAACACCAGTCAAATAAAGAGGGGGCGGGAATACAAAATCACAAACGAGATTAAAATTATGCCATGAGATCTTCTGTTGGTTTCTTGACAACAACAAAGACGTGCGTAAAATTTTTTCTAGGCGAGAAGCAGAAAAATGCTGACTTCATCTTCGCCCTCCCCCTCTCTCCCTCTCCGCGCAACTTTCTCTTCCCCTCCCTCTCGAACAAAATATCCCCAAACAGGATGGAACACTTATTTTTAAACTCGTTGGTCAAATACGTAATTCTGCCATCGATTCCGCTACTTATTCTCCCAATCACTTTCTCGTATCTGCTGCAACTATATGCATTCCAAATGATTTTAACGCATTTGGTGAATTCGGCACTGCTCAGGCGATCTTTGCGTTTAGTTAAATTTACAACCTTCGACTGAATTTGCTTCCTGGACAAATACTCCCCTCTTTCAATAAATTCTGAGCCTAGCCAAACCAGTTTCTTTATATTTTCCCCGTTTCGAGTGCCAACTTGGCTCTCCGCCACAACATTTCGCTCTTCCTGCTTTCCTCTGTCGATGCAAGCGAAGACATTCTTGCAACACTAGAAAAGTAATATTTACAATATCTGCTGCCTCTACGTGTCAAAACCCAGGTAGTGTGGTACTGGAAGGACGGCAAGTTTTAGCTCCATCTGCATGTTTCGATCTCAAGTACAGTGCGCTGATATAAAATTAGTGATAAAATCTGCTAAAACCAAAAAAAAAAAAAAATGAATTAAAATACCTGAAACAAATCGGACCACTTCGAGCTCTTCAGAGGGGCTTGCGATACACTCTGGAATGGTGCAGTGTTCACCGGGAAAGCAAGATCAATCAGGCCAAGTGTCAAATCCCTGCAATTTCTCCAAAATGAAACTTTCACAATTTTACACCAAAAGTGAGCTGTGATAAATTGGTAAACACACAGAAAATACTTAAAAAATATTCACAGAAGTCCGAATACGTTAACGCAAAAGATCACAGAAAAATTCTGTTTTTGCCATTTTAAAATTTATTTCTATGATTATCTCACTCGATGTAATTCTGAATCAATTTTACGATTGTAATGTTATTAATTCCAAGTCCACCACTTCACTTTCTTCAGTGTCTGCTCCAAAAACAAAGTTATAGTCATTTTGAAGTTTCAGTTTGCGTCAGGCGCATCTACGCATTAGCTGAATTCACGCAGGAAACTAACCGACAGTGAACAACAACATCGGCAATTTGTCTGAGCGTCAGTGGGACAGCGGCATCAGCAAACCCTCCGTTTTGGAAGTCATCATCGTCAACAGTCATCAGTACATTCGTCATCATCGTTATAAACAAAGACAGAGCTGTTATTAGCGACTGCTCATCGCCCTGCGATATATTTTCACCCTGAAATGAATTTACACTTGGTTTTCGTTCTTGCTCCATTGTCGCGTGCAAAAAGCGACAATGCCACAAGATTTGTAACGCAGTAAAAGCGAGGAGTGCCGTTTTTACAATTAGTTCCACGTTAATTAGTTTCACTGTCACTTTTCTTGTCGCCACTGATGCAGCTACCAACTTCTTCACTGTCCCCCACTTTGTGCATTCGCAACCAGACACATCAAAATTGGTATTCAAAGGCCTTCCTTGCCTTTTTAACGCTGCATCGGTAACAATAAACAAATCCGCTTTGTCCAACTGTTGTCTGCCATTTTTGTCACACAACCATTTGTTCTTCTTCCTAGCGCCCACCATCTCACTTAGCCAAACCAAAAGGCAGTAGCCGTTCACTGGCTAGCTGGGTCACTCCAACTCTTATCCCCAACACGCATGATATTTTGTTTCAAGTTACAATAAGCAGCAGCGCGCATCAGACTAGCCGGTGCAATGATGCGTTTTGTGCAATTCAGCCCATCGAACGATTGACTATTAGTGATTTTCACAGCTTTGTACTTTAGTCTATGCAAAAAATAGTTCAAACACTGGAAAACAGTTAAAAATTTCACGCACCAGCGTATGAAAGCTGAATTCG